CCGAGGGGCATACCGGGAGTTGTAGTCCCGCCAGCGCCGCCCGGTGGCGTTTGAAAACAAAGCGCCAACGGCCGCCACGCCGCGCGTGCGCACTGGGAGCTGGGGGCACCGCGGGGCTGACTGACGGACTGACCGAGTGACTGACAGATTGGCTGACTGACGGACTGACCGACTGACGGACTGACTGACGGACTGACGGACTGACTGACAGATTGACTGACGGACTGACCGACTGACTGATAGATTGACTGACCGACGGACTGATCGACTGACGGACGGACTGACTGACTGACGGACCGACTGATGGACTGACGGACTGACAGACAGACTGATTGACGGACTGACAGACTGACTGACAGACGGACTGACTGACTGACTGACGGACAGACTGATGGACTAACTGACCGACAGATGGACTGACTAACGGACAGACTGACTGATGGACTAAGTGACTGATGGACAGATCGACTGACCAACTAGCTGACTGCCTGACGGACAGACTGACTGATAGACTGATTGATGGACAGATGGACTGATTGACTAACTGACTGATGGACAGATGGATGGACTGTCTGACTGTCCGACTGACTGACTGACTGACGGACAGACTGACTGATGGACTGCCTGCCTGCATGACTGACTGACGGATGGACTATCCAACTAACTGATGGACAGAGTGACTGATGGACAGGCTGACTGACTGACAGACTGACAGAATGACTAACTGACTGCCTGATGGACAGACGGACGGATGGACTGACTGATAGATGGACGGACAGACTAACTTAAGTGACTGACTGATGGATGGACTGGTGGACTGGCTGACTGGTGGACAGACTGATGGACTGACTGATGGATGAACTGACTGACAGGCAGACAAACTGACTGACGGATGGATTGACTGACAGACTAACAGACAGACTGACTGACTGGCAGACAGACTGTCTGATTGACTGACAGACAGACTGACTGACTGGCGGACAGACTGACAGCATGTCCAGGCTCAGGGGGTCGGAGCGAGGCACAGTGTGGGATGTGTTGGCCACAGGCATCATTGACCACCCATACGTTACCCAAGGAGCTGCCCGAGGGCTCTTGAATCTGATACCAAAGGGTTAACCAAGAAACAGAGGACTGTGCTCTTAGATGACAATTAAATCCAAGTGTGTGGCAGAACTGTGCTCTTAGACAATTAAAACAGAGTGTACAGGGCACAGTCGCTGGGTTAGAAATGGGGGATTGTATGTTTGGGATAATAACTGAAACCAGATGTATAGGACACGTGCTTACTGGGCTAGAAAAGAGAGAACTGTGTGTTTCAGACTACGTGCTCACTGGGCAGGAACCAGGAGATGGATGGATGGAACAAGACGATAGGAGAACAAAGATGTGATCGATGCGTACACCTGGCCTGGACAAAAGCCCAGAAGTGAAAGGACTAAAAGTACAGGGAGAGCATCCAAAGTTTACAAACTAAGCTGCTAGGTGGTTGCAAAAGCAGAGCCCTGGGACTCCTAGAACCACCACCTCAATTTAATGAGCATGTGCAATATTATAATGAGAGGATGGGTTAGGATAATTATTTTGGGGAAACAATCTTTATGTATGGAAATTACTGAATATCTGTGATTTATCTGTATAAAAGGCTGGAGTTTTTGAAGCTGGGTCTACATGCTTGGCAGAATATCCCTCATGCATTTGGTGCCACAATAAATAATGCCTGTTCTTAATACTAAATTGGTGTTAAGGAGTTTTACTGCTGATTTTGGTGACAAATTGGCTGCACTGTGCTTGGGGAAGGAAAGGCTTTGTGCCAGGTCAGCCCCGTGACTGCCTTGGGTACCTGCAATGCCCTCGTTGTTGTTTGTGCTCCACACAAAGCAAACACATCCTCTTCTAGTAATTGTCTTTGAAAGCTCTGCCTGTAATAGTCTGCATAAACTTTCAGGAAACAAAAGAAGAGTCACACTATAGATCAGCTCAAACTTTTATTCTTAGAAAAGTAAATGCATTACAGCACCTCCACACAAACCCTCCTGTTTTGCCTTCTTGGTTTTCAGTGTTCGGTTTGCATCTTTACTCTGAAAAATAGGACTTGAAAAGCAAAAAATTCTCTAAACCTACTAATTGTTTCATCTTTAGGATAAGTGATAGCTTGGGCTGACAGTTTATAGACTACAGATCCAAAAAAATCTGTTTCTTTAGAAACAGGAGATGATGGTTCTGAACTCTGTTCCTGGCTATCATTACAGTTTTATTTCAACTGTCGCTTGACAGATGAAATAAGACTTTCCCTGTAAAAATATTCATATATCTCAATAAGAACATTGGGCATTAACACAGCTAAAATTCTAACACTAAATGTTACAGATAAAATAGATGTAAAATGTTTCTGTATCACAATTCCTTCAGTTCTTCCTCCTTTTTCCCCCCTTCTCCCAAACAGTCCTTGCTTTCTGTTTTGACAAAATCCTGTGTTTGTTTTATGCTAAGTTTGCTGTCAGTTTCAGCTCAGCCAGCAGGGAGACTGACAGCTCCTGTGAGAGCTGGATGGAGTCAATAAAAATAGGAATGACAGCCACATGCTGGAAAGTCTAGATTCTTCAAGAATCTATAAAAAAACATGTATCCAACACTGAATGCTGAAGGTAATTAAATGAGAGCTACACCCATTCATCTGATACCAAAGCAAAACAGAGGCTTCATGGCATAACTGCTGGGAAACTGTTTGCCAGATTCAGTGCAGCACAAGACTGTGGTGTGACTTTTTGCCTCTTGGTCGCCAGGAGGGGAAAGAAGAACTTTCTGCTTCTATTTATTCCCATTTTCAGTAAAAACAAGTGGTGGTTTTTGATAAAGGTTTTTCTCAGCCTAGTTGCCTACATTCACTATGGATCAGGAAAATAATGTGTTGCTCAAATGGAATGGGCAGCTGAAAATAAATCCAGGAAGAAGGTTTTGGAGAGAGAACATATTCTTACAGTTCACAGTTTCAAATAGACATAGGAAATACAGATGTGTAAGTGTATTAATCAATATGTACAGTAATTGGAACTTTTGTAGAAGAAATAACAAAACCCCAAAACAACATAGTTGTAAAGGATAAGAAATAAAAATGGAGATTACATAATAAGCTCAAAGAAAAGTAATTTCAGAAACTTAAGTACTTTTATCTAAAATGTATTAGGAATTTTCACCCTTTTTGTTTCACAATTTCTATCGCTGTTACGATGCAACAGTTAATTCCATTCAATTTCAGGACTGTTCTTGAAGAGATATTCTGCCTATAAACAGAAGAATTTAAAAGTTGCAATTATTTTCATGTCTCCAATTTTGAAATGCATGGAAAATAACAAAAATACGGCAGATAGCATTGCTTTAAACAAAATTGCAGAAAGTATTAAATGGCTCTAAAATGTAATTTCTGGCAGCTGTGTTAGAGAAAACTTTCCCAAGATACCATCCACCTCATTCTCCCTCTTGGTAGCAGTCACCTTGTTTCTGCTGTGGGCAAGAGAAGGAAGTAAACCATATATAACAGTATTTGTCATGGAAAAGCCTAGGGAGTACTCTAGGGCCTGATTTCTGGACCCAGAAGAGTAGATGATGCTGATCTTTAAAAGCTGTGTAGTTATTAGGGATGATCTCATGCTCCTACAGCTACAGGTAGTTGTCATTAACCAGTAAGCAACAAGGTTAAAACAAGGAAACATTCCTTAGTGCCTGAAATGGCAACACTGGTGCTTTCATTTTGAGCTTTTGCATGACTAATAAAATGCTTTCATAGAATCATCAAGGGTGGAGGAGACCTCTAAGATCATCCTGTCCAACCATTAACCTGTGACTGCTGTAATCCCTGAACCATATCCTCCAGTGTCAGATCGAGATGCCTCTTAACCCCTTCCAGGGATGGTGACTCCACCCCCTCCCTGGGCAACCTATTCCAGTGTCTGACAGCCCTAACTGGGAAAAAATTTTCCTTGCATCTAATCTGAATCTGTTTCATTGTAACAGTGACCGTTTGTTAATGTAGGATGTGCAGGGAGAACAGGAGAACAGCAATGTTACAGCATCAGAATTCCTCCTGACCCTGCTTTCAGCTGAAAATTGAACTGCATAACTTCCTGAGGTCATTTGCCACTGGAATCATTCTGTGAATCTCCTATAGGATTTTCTCATTAATTTATCTGTGCATTTTGAAGGGAATTACTGAAGAGCTGATGTATTCATCATTACAACGTGTTTGGTTGTGCCTAGAGGGGTGCATGCAGGATGGAGAGTGATGTTCCCCTTTCTGCAGAGTTAGAGATTTTATATCATTTGAAAGTAGTTAGAACTGTTAGGCCACAAGCTGAGCTTTCTCTGACCCATATGGCTGCCTTGTGTAAGTCAAAGGTGGATTACAGTCAAGCCTGGTGCTAACAATCTGAACATTCATAACAGTTAGAAGAGACAAAGCTGCAGCTTAAACATTACTTAAAAATTAATAGCAGGAGTAGACAGTCCATAGATTGTGGTATATGAACTGTAACAACCATATTACAACACGGAGTATAGAGCCAATCAAAACCCCCACTGAAACCTAGTTAAAAGGGTGTGAAGATGACACTTGGCAACCACTTGGTAAGGAAACAGCAAACCAATGAGGAGTAGTAAGACCTCACACCTTACCATAGCTGTTGGCCTGGATTGTCATGTGAGGGTTGGGGAGTTTAGGTTGTAAAGGGTATAATTGCCCAGGGATTTCTTGGTTCATGTTCCATCTTTTGAGGCACCTAGCTTGAGCTACCAGATACCATAACTGATCTGTGCCAATGAACCTGTCTAATGGAGGTGAGAGCCTGGTGTCAAAAATGTCTTTAACTTGCAGGCCCAAGTGTCATAGCAGAATTGTCAGGGTCCATAAGATGTGCAGAGTGCACATACCAAAGGGAACCAGATTTTGGTAATGATTCTTGTCTTAACAAAACTAGATTATGCCTTTACTTGATATGCAGTGTGACCTGACCCCATAAAGAGTTGTGACTGGGGTTTGAATTTTCAGTGTAATTGCTGTCCACTAGAATTGCAGATACTAATCATCAATTAGTTGGTTACAGTGGGGAAAAAGAATTTGAATCCTTATGTTAACAGAGATTCTTTGGGTCTAGATAAATATTCAAATGTATTTAAGAAACAAAATTTAATTGCCTTACCAGAAAATCAACTGGATCATCTGGTCTGATCCTACAGCATTCATTTATGCCTTGCATAAGGGTTGGCATGACATTCTTCATCAAATAGTTTCGTAGTGGAAGTGACTGGGCCTCCAATAGCTCTCGTTCTTGTCTTTTTACTTCCTCCATGTGTTTATTCTAGAAGTAATGAAAAAAAAATAAAATCATAAATAACAAGGTTTATAACATCTACCAAATAGTACTTGACTAAATAATAATGGTGGTCTAGAATAAAAAATTTAGTATTGGAAACTGGGGACAGAATTTTAAAACACAACTTGGCAGAAAAAAATAAATTAACTGCTTATTAAATTTAGAGTACAAAACATACTGAGAGCAAAGAATTGAACATGATGAGAACTAAAATAATCTCCTTAGCAAAATTATTTTATTTTTCTCTCTTTAACACCTAAAAGGAGGTTTATTTTGAAGTCTTCCAGTGGTCCTTTTTCCATGAGGTATTTGGAAAACAGTTGGAATATACTGTAGCACTTCAAAAACTAGTACTATTTGCAAATGCAGCTGGTTTCTCAATGGTTCTTTGAACTGGAGGGAGAGTATTTGTACTAAGAAGAGAGCCCTGGCTCTAAACATTTAAATTGCACATTGTGGTGTGTTGGTTGGTTTAGGTTTGGTTTCTTTGCTTTGTTTTATTTTTATTTCATTGATGTTTTTGACGGGGTTGAGAGTTAAATCGACTAAAACCACAGTGAATTACATCTGTTTACTCCAGCTGAATTTATTCCCAAATTCAGGTTAAAACAAATACAATTGTTATACTCAGAAAGTAGGAGGCATGAAAACTGCTGCAAGTTTTCCTTTGTTCCATTCACAAGCACTTAGTAACATGCACATTTGCAGCAGCTTTAGCCAGAAGATTACTCAAAGACATTTTCATTGTCCTCTCATCTCTCATTCTCTTTATCAGTAGCCTGAGTCCTATATAGATGCAGCAACAGATGATACTCTGAATAATGGTTTTCTACACTCAAGGCATAACACAAGAGCAATGTCCAGTCAAAACCAATACACCAATATCTGGAAAAGGCATTTCACTCACTTCAGGAGTGCTACTGAATAAATCTTATGAGTGGTCTTTGGTCACTACTCAGAGACAGCAGCTAATCTACAGTCTGAAGGGCAAATACCTCTTGAAAAGGATAACCTTAAGCACACACTTTATTTAAACACCTACTTTAGCTTTGAATGATGCACAGTTTGCTCCTTCCGAGGTAAATGGCCTTTTGATTGGATACAGCTAAAAATGTGCTATGATTACAAATTTTATGGAGTGCAAAACGCTATTTAATGTTGAATAAAGCTGTAAATAAGCACAGAGATAACAAAAAACCTAAACCCTTACACAAGCCAACATCAGAGCAATGTAAATGCTTCTTTAAAAGTGGGTAATTGCAGCACACAGTTTGCCCACAGATGTGTGAGGGCTTTCAAAACTGAACGGTCAGCTTGTTTTTAAATAGCTCTTACAGAAGACAATAGAACTGCCTTCAGGTGAAACAACCTGACTTTGGGTGTGAACAAGAACATTCTTAGACTGTGCATGCCAGGTTATTTACCTGAAATGTCCTTAGGTGGGGCAAAGTAAACAAGGAAAAGCGTCATGTGCAAATCCTGTGAGTTCAGGTAGCCTGAATACCAAGTACTGATTAAATTATCAGCAAACAAAAAGCATCCTTCAGGCTGCATCAGGCCGTCCTCAGTGAACTGGGGACTCTGCTCTCACAGATGTTCTTGAAGGCTCAGGAAGTTTTCTGCAATGCAGACTGGAATATTGATCAGTGTTGATAAAATTCTAGTTTGAGAATTAAGACTTCGTCAGCTGCTTAGAAGTGAAATGAGTAAAATGCAGAAGTCCTAGAAGACTTGGTATGGAAAATCACCGTGGATTATAGTAGACAGGTATAAATGGTAAAAATGAAGAGCTACAGCACAGCAACAACACCAAGAGTATCATGAAAGTATTTTAAAGACATGCTCATACCAACATGAGAAAAATTCTCTATCTATAATCAAAAAGGACTATATTCGGTAGGATGGGCCTCAAAATGCACTGTGATGATAGTATAAACCAGATCTAAAGTGTGGTATAAGGAATGATGCAGGTGATATAATATTGAGAGGAGCTGTTGACTCCCCTTAAGGCAGAGACCTTGCAGGGGGGGCTAGACAAATTAGAGAGCTGGGCAATTGATTATGGGAATCGAATCATTAAGGCTGAGAGTAGGATAGAGGATAGTCAAGTCGAGAGCACCTGAATAACCAGAAGGTAAGAGGTTGAGCAAGAAGGCATTGTTTTAGTTAATTAAGCATGAAAAGTGTAGAACTTAGGGCATTATTTTAGCTTAGGGAGCATAACCACAATGTATTTACGAGGAAGTAAAACTAGATGCAGCTGAACTAAGGACCTGGCAGCCAAAGAGCAAGACCAAAGAGCATGTGCCAAACTCAAAGGTGAAAAGTTCGATCTGATAAAGACTATCAGCCTTCCTCCTAAGGACCCTCTGGATGACCACCAGAGAACATCAGACTAATGCCAAGTGGGAGGAGATGAAGGAGGAGATTATGATAATGATTTCCAAGAACTAATTGCAATAATTACCACCTATTCCTGGAAATAATGAATATATATGAGTTTTTAATGGATATAAACCAGAGAAGTGTTTTCTTCTGTGCTCAAGTTTGATGGAGCAATCCCCCTTGTGCCCAGCCCTGAATAAACAAATACCTGCAGCTCAGACATTAAAGTCTGTGAGTAGTTCTTTTCCAGGTTTTCTTGGCATCACAATCACTAACCATATGAAGTTTAACATGTACAAGTGCTGGATTCTGCAGCTGGGATGGGGCAACCCTGGCTATACCTACAGACTGGGGAAGGAGAGGCTTGATAGGAGTGCTGGAAAGGGACCTGGGGATCCTTGTTGATGGCAAGTTGAATATGAGTCAGTGCCCTGGCAGCCAGGAGGGACAACTGTGTCCTGGGGGCATCAGGGAAGGCATTGCCAGAGGGAGAGAGAGGGGACTGTCCTGCCCTGCTCTGCACTGGTGCAGCCTCACCTTGAATATTGTGTGCAGTTTTGGGCACCACAATATAAGAAAAATATTAAGCTATTAGAGAGTGTCCAAAGGAGGCAACAAAGATGGTGAAGGGTCTTGAAGGGAAGCCACATGAGCAGTGGCTGAGGTCACTTGGTCTGTTCAGCCTGGGAGGAGGGGAGACCTCATCACTGGATACAACTTCCTCACAAGCAGGGGCAGCACTGACCTCTTCTCTCTGGCAACCAGTGACAGGACCCAGGGAATGGGCTGAAGTTGTGCCAGGGGAGGGTTAGGCTGGAGATTAGAAAATGGTTCTTCCCCCAGAGGTGGTTGGGCACTGAAAGAGCTCCCCAGGTAAGCTGCCACAGCACCAATCCTGACAGAGATCAAGAGGTGTCTGGACATTGCTCTCAGGCATATGGTGTGATTATTGGGGATGTTCTGTGCAGGGCCAGGAGTTGGACTGGATAATCCTCAAGGGTTCCTTCCAACTCTGATTATTCTGTGACTCTCTGAGCAAGAGAATTCCTGCCACACTTCCCAAATGTATTTACATAACAGATTGCTTGAAGCCATCTAAAACACATAAATAATAATGGTTTCCCAAAAATATGTATTAACCTACCCACTCTTCCCAGTTTGCCATCCTTTCAGCTCTTTCCTCAGCTTCTTTTTGCTCTTGTTCAGCTTTTTCTTGAGCTTCTTTGACAAGGCGTTCCTCAGCTGCTTGGCGTTCCAAAATCTCCTTTTCTTCATCTGTCAAACCATAATTCCGAGGTTCTCCAATTTCTTTGACGATCTTTTGTACAATAAATCTGTTCTCAGGATCTTCATATACACCTACGTCTTTTAAACAAAACAAGAGAGCACCTTTCAAGGTTTTTGTCAATTATCAATGGACCTTAGTAAACAACTGCAAGACCTAAAAATATGTGGTGTTCATGTTGTTTGAATTTTCAGGTATAAGATGTTGGTTTTCAGTTGGTTATAATATAAATGTCAGATTTTTTTGCTACAGAGAATGAGGTTTTCTACATCTGATTTTTACAACTAGTTTCAGCTAAAATAGTTTGCTTTTTGAGATGTTGTAAAGAAGAAATTTATCAACACATTTTTTACACCTATTGTTTATCAGTTGCAGCTTGCCCAGGTTTTGAAACTTGAAAATGAGGTCAATTAAGTATCAGAGATGTTCCTGACACAAATCTTATGTCAGCTTATCCAGATAAAACAATCAGCTTTGTTCCTGTCTCCCCCACAAAGGCTACACAATAGGTTGCTTGGATTAGGCACAAACTCCACAAAGTTTTCACTCATACAGATTTACAAATGCACAGACCTAGCTCTAGTCCATTTCTTACTGTGTTATATTTACCAAACAAATCTGCAGCTTCATGTAGGAGCATAGAGACTGAACAAGACCTTTTCTTTCATTTTATTCCTTCTCCCTTTAAATTGCTGGAGGTTACTTACACAGTTAGCTTGATAAGAAATAAGGAAAAGAAAAAATACAGAAGAATGAAGACTGTCCCCAGGGTTTTTTAGATTCTATATGCATTCAGTGTGGGAAGGCAGAAAGGGTATAGAAATGCACTTGGAAAAGAGGGCATTTGAGGTAGAGAAGAATACAGAGATAAAGGGCTTGTTCAGAGGTAAAGAGCTGAAGACATAAAAGCATAGAAATGGGTAAGGAGAGCAAGCAGGTGAAAAAACCCAAAATTTAGATGAGAATCAGTAGTTCCTGTTTCATAGTTCTCTGTTTAGGAAGTTATTTTGAAAGTTATTGGCAAAGGATGCCTCCCAGTGCTTCCTAATCACTGATTCAGGCAGAAGATAGCTGTCAAACCATTTTTTCAGGAGTTGAAGGGTTTGTGATTTGGACCTGAAGTCCAAACTCTTCTCATGAATAGAGGAGAAAGTGAACAGAATTTTACATGATGAAATTTCTTTTACAGCTTCTTCTTTCAAAAAATCAGTGATTACACCCCTGAAATATTCCAAATTAAGGGAATAACATATTTGCTCTAGGATGGCCATGCTCAAGTAGGGAGGTTGGACCAGATGACCCATTGTGGTTCTTTCCAACCTAATTGATTCTGTGATTTGTTATGGCAAATATTCCATTGTTTCTACAATCTTAACTGCTCTTGGATATAAAAATTGCAAAGAAAACCACTCTTCTACTCATTTAAAGTATTGCCAAGAACATTATCAGCATTAAATCTCCAGTCTCAAAGACTGCATTTTTTTTTCTTAGATGGCCAAGCAAGATTCCAATGCACATATTAAAGCAATCATAATTAACTACATTTATTCTCCAAAATAAATACCTTTAAAATAATAAAAAAAGAGGTTAGCACTGGTGCTAGTTGAAAGATCACCAGAATTAAGGTCTTCAAAGGAAATTGCTGATTTAACTTTAACATGCCTTTTTGTAGCAGATGTAACCTGCCTGTGTCACCAGCCCCAATTTGCAGATGAGAAAAACAAGACATAAGATAACTGACTTACTGCCTTCATGCAGTGAGTCACTGTAGCAGAGTAGGGTTTCCAGAATCCTGAAGCCCACTCCTTTGTACTAATCATATTTCAGAGTCAGAAAAAATAATAATCGCCAAAAAGATGCATAAACCCATATGTTATGATTTTCTAAAATGAAGGTGAAAGAAAACTTCTATTAATTTGAGTCAATATTTAACAAATCAAGCCCAAATTTTAACCCCTTCTCCAGAATATGACTGAGAAAGCAGCTGGCACTGATTAAATCCAGTGCTACTTAATTCTGTGGATCTGATAAACCGACTGGAACATCAATTAGAATGGAGAGGTATTGGCTGAGCTGAAGGTTCCTCAGTAGTTTTCTTTGCAATCTGTCCTTACCACTTTAGAACAGAAGCTACTGCTTGCATGTCCCAGTGGGTAACAACCAGCACTGTGAATATAGATGAAGAGGCAGATCTGAGACAAAGAGACCTTATGATGATGCTCAACTGAAATTGAGAGTCAACACTATAAACTGACTGTGAAAATCATCTGGAACATCACAGCTGTGATACCTCAATAATTAAAATCAGTATGCAAGTGAGTTTCCATGTTTGGAATGGACTAGAGTTTAAGGATAATCTTTAGGCATAATTCTCAGCAGGTAACATTGCAATATTCTGTCAGAGAATATACACTTTATAGTCCTCACCAAAATAAAATGTGGTCTTGGACAGTGCCACAACTTGCATATCTAGAAGTCTATAAGAATATGACCAAGTGATGGCATCAAACCTTAATATTTGTCATTTCTTATATTTACTTTCCATAGTAGAACTACCTCAATTCTAAAATCATTATACTATTTTCCCACTGTCACACTTCCTAATAACACATACATGCTGTTATTCTCAAGATAAATCACGATGATTGACATAAAAAAAAAAACCACTTAAAAAATCAGTTATGACCCAGGCTGTTGAACAATTAACTTCTCATAATTATCTCAAATGGACATTCCAAATATCAGCAGTTTGATTTTAATTGCAGGGTTTTCCCCTTGTTATCTCTTTCCTCTCCCTCCAAAAACTCCCCACCTTTTCTTTAGAATGCTGTGACCCTGATCTCACTGGTTTTGAATAATCAGATAACAGTAATATTATCAAGATTTCCCAGTGATCACAATTTTCTAGATAGTGTGTAG